GTTCTTTCTACTAGTAGATTCTTGAAGATGGATGTGATTGGGAAGGAGTCCTAAAGCAAAGTATTAAATGGTGTTGCCACCATAAGCATAAGTTGTATCAGGTCCAATATGGACTTCCTCTCACTGGATGGAGAGAGCTCTGCACCTCAGAGATGACTCACAGCAGCTGCCTGCTGAGCCATCCAGTGTCAGCATGGTCCAAACATCACTGCCTAAAGCACATCAATAAGGGAACACCGAGGGAAGAAACGTGCCTTTAAATCCAATTCATTTCAGTAGTAAGGCTCAACCATTTGGAAACCACAGTTTGAGATACTTTAATGATCATATGCCTATGACTTTACCATAACCAAGCAGACCTCAGTTTTTAAAAGTTAGGCTGGAGAAACTGTTGGCAAGTACTCTCCTATCTTTTCATCTAGCAATGATATTGGCCAGAGGAATTATAAGACATTGATTTTGTTGCTCTTGTTTACAAGATAAACATACATCCCCTTGTTCCACTGTCTGGATTACTCCACTCCACTAGACTGAGCTCTGGATAAGGGCTGTTTCTACCACATTTATTCACTTATCTTGGTTCTTTCTACAAAAGCAAAATCCTTGTTCCCAAATGACAGGAGGTTCAAAACGTCTTAGATTACTGTGTCTGCCCTCGAGAAAATTAGCACAGATTCTGATTGCACTCTGCCTTTTGCCTAGTCTGTCTCATCATCATCCCTAGAACATTCGTCACTACATATTGTGAGTTCTCAAAAGCACAGGGACAGTAACTCTTCCTTTGTGCCAAACTAACAAAACAGAAAAAGTCATCAAACATCCTTCCTTGAGTGATTAATTAAAACAAAATCCTTACCTACTCCCTGAAAGCATGTGGATATAGCTTATTTTATTTCATTCTATTTTGTAGCAGTTGTTGTGGAGAAACAAGACTGCAAGTCATTTTTAAACACCAGTTTCAGGACCTCAACTCTCAAATGTTGAATTTTTACCACCTTGAAAACCTTTGAGCCTGAAAAAACATCAGAATAGGAGCAAAACGAACAATAATAATTTTGAGTGTTTTTACAAAATGAAACAAATTCACACTGTTAAATAATTTGTTCATGCTCTCCAAAAATACTAAGGTACATAAATACAGAAACGATGTCTTTCTGTAATGCATGCTTTCCAGAGATATTTCACTTATATTAATGCATAGTTCAGGCATGTATTCCTAATGGTATTTAGCTATGCTGAAAACCACTGAGGAATTAAACTGGATGAAAGCATGCTGAATAAGTTGTTGGAAGTTTAATTACCTTTTCCTTTTTTCTCTTTAGTGGGAGTTCTGAATTCTGGAAGAGTAAAACTCTAGTCTCTACTGTATTGAAATGATATTTTTTTAGCACTTCAATCATTGTCTCTACTTGACTAAGACATTTCCGTGCCAAAGCAGGTGCATTTACTTTTCAAGTATTATTTTACTAATCAATTGAAAAATTACCTCCATGAATGACAGAAGTGCAGACCTTTAGAGTATTTCATTAAAAGAAGCAAACATTAATTACAAATCCAGCCCAACCTTTGCAGACATAAATTATGGGACAGATCTATTTTCTTCCTCCATGCTTAATTGCACGCTGCGACTAGCTCTTCAAATTATTATCTCCAAGGCATGAATGAAATTAGAATGGATTTGATGATATTCTCAAGACATATTTGTACCTAAATAATTTGGCCATTACTCTCTGGTCATATAGGAAAAGTTAGATGAAAGAACTTTAAGCCTCTGAATGGTGGCTAGATTGCCATGAAAACAAAAGCGGGAAGTGAAACATAGATTCGGAATCATAAAATCTTTTCAGACAAGGCAGTCTAATTGCAGGTTTAACAACAGAATAGTTAAGTATGTTTATTCTAATAACTCTAAAATTCTAATAATTTCAGTTGATTGTAACTATCTGAGGCATTCTTTTCATTTCAAGAAAACACCTTTCCCAAATAATTAAGAAGGCTGAAATTTTGATTTCAGGATAGCCATATGCTGAAGTATTTGTGATCAAACTGCTGAAAAATAAATGAGTTAAGTGACATTCTTTGTTCACTGAAAACTAATTTTGAAGCAGGCATGTTTGTAAATATAAAGTAGAATTTCAAAGACATTCAACACTGTTCAAACTTCCAATTTTACAACTCTTTCTGTTTTCAAAGGCAGAAGCATGCAAGAGGTAATTCTTGTGATGGACTTACAGAAATTATCATACAAAAATATTCCCTTTCAGTTTCTAAACTCTTGGCTCTGTAAGTCACAAAGAGAAGGAACAAAACGAAATTAAAAACTGAACATGCATAAAACTCAAATTAGCACAAAACTATCTGATAAGTCTCAGTGTGACTCAAAACTGATCCTGAAAACTTAAGATATGGATTTTTTCCAGGTCTTTGTTTCCAGTAATTTAAAAGGTAATTCCTGTAGTAAATAAACAGCATTGTATACATGTAGATGACAGAAGGTACAATTTACTGTGACAGCAAGTGAGGAATAGATGTAAAATGCATGTGTATTTTTCTTAATACTGTGATGAAAGCAGAAATATTTATTGTAAAACATATCTAGCAATTAACATTTTGTATCGGAAATAGCAAGCCTACTTCTCTAAGAACCACAGCCTTTATACACAGAGTGTGGACAAAGGATCAGAACAACAAATCCCCAATGTTTTTACTGTCCTTCTACCAAGGAGGTTAATAATTTGGCACTGCATACTTTTTTAAAAAAAAAAAAAAAAAAAAAAGTAGATAATGACTTGCTTGTAGTTTAATTTACTTGTGTCATGATACAATAAATACCAAACTGAGTTCTCACAGTGTATTAATCATTAACCTAGGACAGGACTTTAGCTTAAAGTGCATTCCTTCATTTCTGATGTTTCATGGATACATTTGTAGATATTTTAACTACAGTTTCAAAGATGCTGAAGAGATAAACAAGTCCAGGGCCCCTCAAGAGCCAAGCTTTTTGTCTTGTCACCTTTTAACTTTCGGACATAATATAGCCACTCAGCCTGGCTGCCAGAACAGTCTCTGAAAGCAGAACAGAAGCTCTGCAATATGGATTGTGGGAGGTACAGTGGAGGCACAGCTCAGTTTTTGGAGAGTTCATTTGTGTAAGACAGTGTGCAAAGAGCAGGGCAGCAGTACCCAAGCAAGGCAAAAGAATCTGATCCGGTACCTATTTTTTTCCCAGATTTTCTATTGTGACAGACTGCTCAGACCCATGGGAAAGCATTCCTGGTACTGAGCTGAAGATATTGTAAAAGCATTTAAAGATTACCTAAAACATATATTCTGGTTGAAAAAAATTAGAAATAATTGGTCCAGCAAAGAGAAGACTTCAAGGTCTTCATAGTTGTTCCTGTCTTTTTTAGGAGAAGGAAGAAGGAGAAATCCTACTTCCTCATTTGGATTTTGGAAGTATTCACATTCTCTTTCTTCTCTATGGTATTTCATCCTAACTGAAAAGTTTCCCAGGGTCTGGGAAAAAGCAGTCAAGCAGAAGAACAGTGGGGACAGGATGAAACTTTTAACTATATTGCCTGAGAAGGGCAGTGCTGGGCAATCTGTTTCTGGGAATCATAATATCATCAGTAACCTATTTGCTCTGGAATCTAAACCACCTGCATCTAAAATGCATGTAAACATGATATGCGGATCTGCCTTCTTTGTTACAGGCCTGTAATATACAGATCATTTTCAATGGATCTGGGCACATTTCTTATACTTAATAGCATACCGTGCAAATCATAAAAATATTTAAACAAGTTTGGTGATTATTTGTATCCTTCCTAAAGCCATTCCATTCAAATATTTCATCCAGAACTTCTTGTTAATGAACATGCACTTTATATTTCTGCAGAAAGAAAATAATCACCAACAATGACTGCTTTTCAACATCTTGCAGTTTACATATAGTTTCTTGTATGTATAAGGTATCATATGATTATAGCACCAATATAATTTATAAAAGTGAGAAAGGTTGGTGAAGGCAGGAAAGCAGTTAAATGGAAGATTTAAAAAATAAGACACTTTCTTTATCAAGGCATATAGAAAGCATATGAAAGAGTGTTAATCAAGTGTTACTTTTTTTCTTTGAAAACAGAATTGCAGAGCAAAGTTTAAAATTGTATAGATTGTTAACAGAAATGTTGAAAACTCATTATTTCCATCTAAGCATTAAACACTGGCTTAACAATGCTTGTTATATTCTATGTGTAGGCAAATTTTACTGGGGCACCAAAATGACATGCATTAATTACAGCTAGGAAAGCGTGAGCAAAGACAGCTCTGAGATAGACCTCGAGTCACAAGGCATGCAGTCCAGCCTCTCTAGTATGGGCTACAATATTTTGTGGAGAGGTCTTTATCATACTAAAGGGTGAAAGTCACAGAGACTGTGTATTACAGCTACATGGGAATAAGCAGTTCAAGCCCACCTCATGCCTACATCAGAGCATGAGTCCTACAACATGAGTCCATTTAGCTGGAGGACTCCAGAACCTGGAGCAAAAATGGGCAGCTCCCAGAGTTCACAGAAAGACAAGAATCCAGAGCACATCAGCCCACCTGCAGCCTAGTTTCAGTGCATCCTGTGTCCCTGTGCCTGGAGAGGGAACATCTGTCCACTGCATGGACACAGCCTCTGCGACAGTTAAGAGGAGGGGGTCAACACTGGGCAACATTAATGCTGTGTGTGGACGAAAACTACTTTGCACTGCCAAGGCCAGTGTAGCTAGTTTTCCCAGACCCCAGTGTGACTGCATAGATGCCCAAGAGCAGAACAGCCTACACCAAGAGCTGCCCAGCGCCTCTCCCTGCTCCTCGGGGAGCTGGCAGCCATGCCAGGATTTCAGTAGGCTGCTCCCCCAAGCACTGCTGGTTTGCACAGAGAGAGCTACAGACACACAGAACTGACAAGGGGGTGAATGAATATCATACTGTGGGTAAAAACAGAATATTACCTTTCTATATGTTATGAGCACAGTTCTCATTATGCACTTTTTTCCTCTTTTTCTCCTTCTCTGTCTGTTAATTCCCCCATTAAATTCTGAAAAAAAAAAAAAAAATAGCATAATTACTTGAATTACTTGCTCCACACAGATGAGAGAACAAATGTGTATGGAACAGAGAAAAACATCTATTTAGTGATTTTAAAATAAGTTGACTGCTCATTTGGTTACCAGTTCAGCATATCTTCCTCCAGCTTACCTTGTTTATGGTTCCAGTTGAAATACAATATGGAGAGAGTGGGAGGGAGGAGGTATTGTTATCATTACAATATCCATTTGAATTATTCCAACTACTTACATAGTAAAAGTCACCTGTAAATTGTGCAACTTCGTTGCACATTGTCTTGTCATTGCAGATTGAACTCGTGTAGGATAAAGGTCCAGAATGGTGCAAATACTTCTTGGTGTTTTTCTGACAGCCAAATATGAATAACAATTTATTTTGGCCAAAAAGACTCATTCTAAGAGAATTTATGTCTTTAATGGGAGATCAGCCATGACAAACAAGAAGGGGATGTAACTATAAGAAACAGTGCATTCTAGTCAAAAGTAAAATATCTTAAAAATTACAGTAGACTCAACAGTTCCTGCTAAGCCCCTCTATTAAATCTTCTATGTGATAAGCCAGAATTCATGTCTTCTACTTTATGAAAAAAGGGCAACCATTAGGATAAAATAATATTGAGAAATAAAATTTACTTTGGATTAGTTTCATGTAAACATTAAAAAAATCAACTTCTCAGAACTCACACAAAAAACATAATGTAGTTAATATTAAGTACAATGATTATGCAACCCATTACTTTTACAGTTTGTGCTCCTGTGTCCTTCATTTCGACCCTGTTTTGCTTATGATTAATGAATGACTCACCTTCAGCACTCTTTCATTTATTTCATACCTCATTATGAATCTTTAAAGGTTATTTGTTATTTGAAAATAGAAAAACGTGTGGAAGTTGAACCCTTTTCATAAATGTAAATGGCGTATTTATAAATAATTTACTATTGCCGGTCTTTTCTCTCTTTATAATGCTTTGTATCTTCTAACTGCAGTAGATAAAATTTCAAAGACTGTACAGAGTTTATCCCTGTATCGTAGCAGGTGAAACTTCTGCTCATCTTATATAAGCAGCAGGAGTGCCTGTGCACTCAATCACTATTACACACAAATCGTAGAACAGCACCTATTGGAAATTGTTAAGATCTTACACTACGGCTTCCTGTATCTTCTCATTTGTTTTGTTTGGAATTATTTTGCAGTGTAATGTATATAAAAGTCTGATGCTTTATGATTTTGTGTCAGCATTCAGGTAGGGATTAAACCTAGACTCAAAAGGTTCATGGAAGTTTCGTATAATTCAGTTGTTGAAGCAAAACCACTAATTTTGGTTTTGGTATTTGAACCAAAGTTTCATACCAACAGTTCACAGTACTTTTCTTTTTTGGGGGTATATCCTTTCGGTCTTGATAATTAGTTTCAACTACAGTACTTGGTAGCTGCAAAATGTTTTTCTGAGCAGAAATGTCTTGGGTCACATCCATACTAAATCACATTCTGCAGGACATTCAAAGGCATAAGCCAAAGTCTAACTTTGCTCTCCAGAGGCAATTTACAAGAGAGAAATTCTTAAATCTCTTAGGCATCTCCATCAGAAGACAGGAGTTACAAATCACAAGAAAACACCTACGATAAGCTGATATCTTGAGGTCTAGATTCCATCTAGATTTTATCTGCAGAAGCTGATAGTTCTTCCACTTAACAGAGCCACTACTATAGCTATCAGCCTGCTCTAAAGGAACTTTGTGGTGGCCCAGAAATTTCTGTTTGGTCAGTGAGCAATTAATGCTCTCCACAGAGTCTCTTGGACTATGCAAAAATGGGGTCTGTGCTGCCAATGGAGCAATGGACTGTGAGACTGTTTATGAATTGGGCTACACTCCAGGCTGCATAGACATGGCCAGGCTAACTTTAAACTGGACAGCTTGGTAATTTCTGGCAGTTCAAAGTTTCTTGATGTTCAAAGCTCTGCAACAGCAGCTTCACTGTAAGAAGACATTACCTCTAATGCTCCAATGACAACTGCACCCAGCTCCTTCTGGAGAAGATTATCTATCTTCATGCCATGCCCTTTTAGGAGGCTGGCTCATAATGTGTAAGCAGCATCTGCACCTACTATTTTTGCCCTGTCATATTTACAGCTGGATTACGGCTGTGAAGTTTATTCAGGTGAGGTTTATTCAGGTTGGATGCTGAGGCTATATCTCACTGAGAGTAAACCAGAGTCCGTGCACTTTATAAACAGAAATGAAAAGTCAACCCCAACTAACTGCATACTTACTCATCCTGTACAATATGCATGGCTGTTTGTGGTGCCAAATTCAATAGCTTAAATATTGTGTCATCACTTAAAATAATATAACTGAGCATGGTTTTTAACTGCAGTCTGACCTTCAGCCTTGGATTTGCTTAATATGGTTGCTTTATGTTTTCCCCCAATTTGTTCAGAACTCTTTGTACCACAGATTATTAAACTATAACTAAACATTGTCCTTGGTCTTCATCTAGATGACGATATTTGGAACCAAAACTAATCTATTATCTTTTCTTTGAATTTTGTAAGCATGTCTGTTCCAGGCTCTTCCAACAATTTCAGTGCAAACTGTACAAGAAAAAATGTAACTGTTTACTTGAGATCACTGCTTTAAATCACATCCCACATAAGATGCATTTTAAGATCTGTGGACAGGCTGTCTTTTAAGTTAACGAAATTGAATACCAATCCCAACAATATATGCTAATTTCTGACAACCACTATAATAATTTTCAGCATGAATAAAAGAGATACTACAGCAGATGATACGAAGAAAATATAAGGAGGTAATAATAAATGGTAAATTTGACGTGATTTAGGAAGCATTTGGAAAACAAAAGGTGAAAAAAACCCATTTCCAGAAGTGACATACAAACTGAATTTGTGGTGAACATGACAGAAATCACAAAAATCTATGTAAAGCAGGTCTGAATTGGTTACTCTGATGTTTGAGTATCATCTCCAATGCAGAATGATCAAAATCAAACCATATATGGCAGAATAGGATATTATGGAGAACAGAATGTTATCAAATGATCATTTATCTCTACAGATTTCATCGTATTAGGCAAGTGGCTTACTATATAAGCAACAAAGAGTGAAATTCTCACTTCAAAGAGAATCTGTTTCTCAAAGTTAATCCTTAGAGACAAATACAGGCATTCTGAAACCTAACAGGAATTACTTTGGCTATTTGAAGAACTGCAACTATTTCAAAATATCATTTATTTATAATATATGTTGTAATAATACCAAGAAAGTTTTTCAGGAACTATCCAGTCTTTATTTTGGCTCAAAACAACCTGACTTAATTGGATGTTTATACAAGAATTACATTTTTAAACCAGAACCTCTGGTAACTCACTAGAATTGGCCTAGAATATCTGCACGGTGTTTTGAGAAGGCCATTCTACTACATTCGTAGAAAGACTGAACAAATAGAAGCAGGTAATTTTCTGCTGTTTGCAAATCCCAAGAGAATGAAAACAAGTCACAGACTATCAAAAGCACTACATGTTTCTGCTTTGCTGTTAACATAACAAATACAGTTTTCCCAAAGCACTCAAAAAACCCCTTTCCATCTTATATCTCCTCTGTAGAAAAAAAAAAAAAAAAATAGGTGTAAAGCTAGTGATAAGGGATTACTTTTTTTTTTTTTTTTTTTTTTCCCAAGTGATAAAATCATACAGGAGCAATAAGATGACACTGGATTACTGGGATATTTCTTCCAAAACATTTATGTGCTTATTATTGTCTCACAAAAGAGACAGTCTAAAGAAAGAAGCCTTTAAAAAATATAATCCACTTATCATCTGGAAACATGAAATGCAAAAGCAAATTAAATCTTAACTTCCACCTTGCCTTTTCTTCTTTCACTCTCAACATGCACTGTTTCTTAAGAGTCTCACTACCACACCATGAAGGCTACGGAGTTCTCAGAACATGCACATCAACCCTTTTTAAACATACCTCTGAAATGATATGCGAAATCCCCTCATTCCCATATTTTTTTATAGCTCCTGAATAGATTAGCTCCCATGGCTTCCTCCATGGTGCTTTTATACTCAGGTAGCTGACACTGCAAGTTACACAAGAAATATCTGAGTACCTGGAATAATGGAGAGCCATATTTAGCAGTACAATATTCAGAAATGTCAAAAAAGCATTTACTTCTGTTTGAATTATGTTGTTTGGTTGATCAGGCCTGTATTTCTCTCAGCTCAGTAAGATTATATTCACACATTGCTAAGTGAATTTAACCAAAATAATACCTGTATTTGGGAGACACTAACCCTTGCTGCCTACTCTATTCCACATGGTTTTATTGCCAGCGACTACTTACTGTCCCCTACCAAGCACCCATGTAGGACATGTGTTATGTAGATCCAGAGGGTGAAAATACTAAGCAATCATAAACACTATAACTGCCAAATGAAAGAAATGATAGAGGGCCAGAGTCTGCCCTAAAGCTCTACTGAGACAAATTCTTCAGTGTTGTGACTTCAGCCCCAACCTCAAATCTGAATGTGTAAATTACATCTTTGGCACTCTTGGCTAACAGACACCTGGAGCACGGTGGGAGATACGCTACTGTACAGATGATGAGATTCACTCTCATTGCTTTTTGAAGACTGAGTTACAACAAGCGAGGATGCAGAGTACACTGTGCTTTCAAAGAGGAGGTCATGGGGGAAGGCAACATGATGGTTAGCACATTTTATGAATAGGTCTGGAATATACGATGTAGATGTTATGAAATGGAACAATGAGGTGACTGACAGCAAAGAACTCAGAGCTGGAGCAAATGTGGAGGTAAAGTAGAATTGAAATAGCGAACCATCTGCTTTCTAATGAAAGCAGCTCTACTTGTCAGCACCATCTAGAAAAAATGATTTCTTAGTTGGAGTGTGTAACCAAGGGAAGTAGCATTTTTGCTATATGAGGTA